ACCCGCCTTGGCCTCCCAAAGTGCTGGGATTACAGGCGTGAGCCACTGTGCCCGGCCAAGACTGCATTCTTGAAGAAGCAAGGACTATTCTGAGAACAAGATAGTTTGTATCTTGCAGTAAATGCAGAACGCAGGCATCTGTGTTAATGCATGTCTCACGGACTGTGTATGGATGAATGAACTGAAATGTTTGCTTAGTTCTCCTACCTGTATCCCTTAGTGAATTATTCTGAACTTCATTCACTGATTCCCCCTTCCTTCCTTCCTTCCTTCCTTCCTTCCTTCCTTCCTTCCTTCCCTTCTCTCTCTCTCTTTCTCTTTCTCTTTCTATCTCTCTCTCCCCTTCCTCCCTCCCCTCCTCTCCTCTCCTCTCTTTTCCTTTTTCCTTTCCTTCTTCCTTTTTTGCTCTGTTGCCCAGGCAGGAGTATAGTGGCATGGTCTCAGCTCACTGCAACCTCTGCCTCCTGGATTCAAATGATTTTCCTGCCTCAGCCTCCCAAGTAGCTGGGATTATAGGCATCTTGCCATCATGCCCAGCTAATTTTTATATTTTTAGTAGAAACAGGGTTTTACCATGCCGGCTGGGCTGGTCTTGAACTCCTGACCTCATGATCTGCCTGCCTCAGCCTCCCAAAGTACTGGGATTACAGGCGTGAGCCACTGTGCCCGGCCTCATTCACTGATTTCTATCTATCTGTCTATTTATTTATTTATTTTTTGAGACAGGGTCTCATTTTGTCACCCAGGCTGGAGCGCAGTGGCATAGTCTCGGCTCACTGCAGCCTCAGCCTCCCTGAGCTCAGGCAGTCCTCCCACCTCAGCGTCTCCTGTAGCTGGGACCACAGGCATGCGCCACTGTGCCTTGCTATTTTTTTTTTTTTTTTTTTTTAAATGGAGTCTCATTCTGTCGCCCAGGCTGGGACGCAGCAACGTGATCTTGGCTTACTGCAACCTCTGCTTTCCAGGTTCAAGTGATTTCCTGCCTCAGCCTCCCGAGTAGCTGGGATTACAGGCGCCTGCCACGGGACTAATTTTGTATTTTTAGTAGAAATGAGGTTCCACCATGTTTGCCAGGCTGGTCTCAAACTCCTGACCTCAAGTGATCTGCCTGCCTCGGCCTAATTTTTTTTTTTTTTTTTTTTTTTTTTTTTTGTTCTTGAGACAGGGTCTCACTCTGTCATCCAGGCTGGAGTGCAGTGGCACGATCTTGGCTCATTGCAGCCTCCGCCTCGCAGGCTCAAGAGATCCTCCCAATGCAGCCTCCTGAGTAGCTGAGACTATAGGTGTGTACCACCACACCTGGCTAGGTTTTCTATTTTTTTGTAGAGATGGGGTTTCACCATGTTGCTCAGGCTGGTATTGAACTCCTGAACTCAAGCGATCTGCCTGCCTTGGCTTCCCAAAGCACTAAGATTATAGGTGTGAACCACTGCACCTGACTTCCTCAGGACTTTTTTTTTTTTTTGAGATGGAGTTTTGCCCCTGTTGCGCATGCTGGAGTGCAGTGGTGCAATCCTGGCTCACTGCAACCTCTACCTTCTGGGCTCAAGTGATTCTCTTGCTTCAGCCTCCCAAGTAGCAGGGATTACAGGTGCCTGCCACCATGCCTGGCTAATTTTTGTATTTTTAGTAGAGATGGGGTTTTGCCATGTTGGCCAGGCTGGTCTTGAACTCCTGACCTCAGCTGATCTGCCTGCCTTGTCCTCACAAAGTGCTGGGATTACAGGCATGAGCCACTGTGTCTGGCCCTCCACACAACCTTTAAAGGTTATTTGTGGTTGTGAGTAGTTCACTTGTGAGACTGAGAAACTAAGGTGCTCTCTAGGCTTTTTCACTCTGCGGGATCTCCCTTCTGCGTTGGGTTGAATGAGATAGTGCTTATTAAAGCACTTTGGCAGACAGTCTGGTCCTATACTTCTACCGCTGCCTTCTGCCACATTGGGATTCTGGTGAGAGGCAACGTGCCTCCTTCCTTGTTTGTGCTGGAGGTATCCAGGACAGAGTGTTGCTCTGTTGCCAGGCTGGAGTGCAGTGGCACCATATGAAGCTCACTGCAACTTCTGCCTCCCGGGTTCAACTGATTCTCCTGCCTCAGCCTCCTGAGTAGCTGGGACTATAGGCGCGCACCACCACGCCCAGCTAATTTTTGGTATTTTTAGTAGAGACAGGGTTTCGCCACGTTGGCCAGGCTGGTCTCGAACTCCTGACCTCAAGTGATTCCCCTGCCTTGGCCTCCCAAAGTGTTGGGATTATAGGTGTGAGCCCCCGCGCCTGGCCTCCATTCCTGTTTTTAGGCAGATGAAATAATTTGCCACATGACTAGGGTAAAGATAGGATAAATAGAAAAGAAATATCATGTCATAGATCCTATGTTAGTTTGCTAGGGCGTCTGTAACAAAATACCGCAGGTGGAGTGGCTTGCTTCCACAACCCAAATTAATTTTTTTACAGGCCTCTATCCTTGGCTTATAGATGACTGTTTTCTCCCTGTATCTTTATACTGCCTTCTCTCTGCAAGTGTCTGTGTCAGAATTTTCTCTTTTTATAGGAACATCAGTCATACTGGAGTAGGGCCCACCTGTTTTAACTCAGTTACCTCTTTGAAGACCCTGTTCCAAATATAGTCTCGTTATAAGGTACTGGGAGTAAGAACCTCAACATAGGAGTTTTTTGGGAGTATACAATTTAGCGGCCATGCATGGTGGCTCACGTCTGTAATCCCAGCACTCTGGGAGGCTGAGGTGGGCAGATCACGAGGTCAAGAGCTCTAGACCCTCCTGGCCAACATTGTGAAACCCTATTTCTACTAAAAATACAAAAAATTAGCTGGGTGTGGTGGTGCACACCTATAGTCCCAACTACTTGGGTGACTGAGGCAGGAGGATTGCTTGAACTGGGAGGCAGAGGTTGCAGTGAGCCAAGATCATGCCACTGCACTCCAGCCTGGTGACAGAGTGAAACTCTGTTTCAAAAAACCAATCAAGCAAAAAAAAAAAACCAAAACCAATTTAGCCCATAGCAGATTCTATAACATAAATTGTTTACTTAATATTAATCTAAACATGAAAATATTATAGTCACCTGCACTTAAGCTAAAACATTATAGTTCTCTGGAGAAAAACTTAGACGTTGTTTTCCATTCACATTTAACTATATTTTGTATAAACTGTAAATTCTTTGGGTATATATGTATATTTGTTTTTGAATTTTACTTTTTAGTTGCATAAATAATTTAGTAATATATTTTGGAATATTTTAAAGCAAATCCGGGACATAATAGCATTTCACCAGTTGTATGTTAATATGATTCTCTCACAGATAGGAACTTTGAAAAATTTAATGTAACCGTACTGCTACTATCACAGCCAACAAAATTAACAATAACTACTGGATATTCTCTGTATGTTTGGCCATGTTAAATTTTTCCCAGTTTGTCTCAAANTTTTTTGAGATGGAGTCTTGCTCTGTCACCCAGGCTGGAGTGCAATGGCATGATCTCGGCTCACTGCAACCTCCAACTCCCAGGTTCAAGTGATTCTCCTGCCTCAGCCTCCTGAATAGCTGGGAATAAAGGAGTTTCTGTTTTTAGTAGAGATGAGGTTTCACCATGTTGGCCAGGCTGGTCTTGAACTTCTGACCTCTGCGATCCACCTGCCTTGGCCTCCCAAAGTACTGTGATTACAGGCGTGAGCCACCATGCTGGGCTCACTTAATTGCTTTACAGGCTATCTTTTTCATTGGTGACACATATATATATTTTTTTAATTAAGGGAACATTCATACAAAATAAATTAACCATTTTAAAGTGCACAATTCAGTGGCATTTAGTCCATTCACACATTATGCAGCCATCAGCTCTACTTCCAAAACATTTCATCATCCCAGATCTCATACTCATTCAACAGTCCCCCCTGATTTCTGTCTACCCCCAGCTCATGGAAACTATGAATATGTTTTCTGTCCCCTTGGATTTTCTTATTCTGGATATTTACTATAGATGGAATCCTACAATATGTGACCTTTTGTGTCTGGCTACTTTCACTTAGCATAATGCTTTCAAGGTTGTTAGACAAATAACCTTTAACCCCTTCATCTTACTCCTCTCTCAAATTTGTTTTGCCCAGTTATCCCAGGAAACCTCTCCACATCATCTTCCATCCTCTTAATTGTATCTACCAAGGGCACAGATGGCCAGTTACAGCATCAAGCAAACCTCTGAAGGGAAATCAGCCCCTTGGGGATTCTTATCTGGGACCAGAAATGTGTTCCAATATATTTTTTCCCTTTGTAATCTCATGCATTCTATTTTACATGCTCAAAACCATTACTCTGAGAAGGAATCCATAGGCCTTACCAGACCGCCAAAGAAGTCCTAAGAAGTCAAACAAAGCCAGAAAAATCCTCACTAAGCTGCTACTGAGCTCTTCATCTTCATTCACTCAGTTAACGATGGTTCCTTCAACAATTTCCTTTTTTCCAAAAGTGCTTAGGATGAGTAAAATAGCTGCTTTGTTTTTTGTTTATTTGCTAGCACTGTAACTTTTTTTTTTTTTTTTTTTTTTTTTTTTTTTTTTTTTTTTTTTTTTTTTTTTTTTTTTTTTTTTTTGTTGAGACAGAGTCTTGCTCTGTTGCCCAGGCTGGAGTTCAGTGATACATTCTCAGCTCACTGCAACCTCTACGTCCTGGGTTCAAGTGATCCTCCTGCCTCAGCCTCTCAAGTAGCTGGGATTATAGGTTTGTATCACCATGCCCAGCTAATTTTTGTATTTTTAGGAGAAATGGGCTGTGCCACCATGCCCAGCTAATTTTTTGTATTTTTAAGATAGACGAGGTTTCACTATGTTGGCCAGGCTGGTCTCAAACTCCTGACCTCAGGTGATTCACCCATCTTGCCCTCCCAAAATGCTGGGATTACAGGCATGAGCCACCATGTGTGGCCTGAGTTGGTTTGAATTTGGAATAAATAAACCCATACATTGCATTTGGTTGGTGAGTCTCAAACTTTATGTTTTCATTCTTTTCACTATGAAAAAGTTTCTTCTGCTGCACCTTTTATTCCATGTCATAGGCTTGTTAAAACTGGGTCATTTGTCCTTTTAACTTTTCTAATTGTGGGATTGACTAATTTTATCCTTATGGTTTTATTGAATACATTCCTTTATTCTGCTATATTTCCTACAACCCGGTAGTGGTACCTGAAGATAATGTGTTTTAAAAAGCTGTTTGGGCCAATGTGATGAAACCTTGTCTCTACTAAAAATACAAAAAAGTTAACCGGGCATGGTGGCTTGTATTTGTAATTCCAACTACTCAGGAGGCTGAGGCAGTAGAATCACTTGAACCTGGAGACTGCAGTGAACTGAGATCATGCCACTGCACTCTAGCCTGGGCGACAGAGTGAGACTCTCCCCCCAAAAATAAAAGTTGTTTGGCAGAAGAAGAATCTCTTCTTAAAAGCATCGCTATTCTTTGGAAATGAACTTATAGCTCACATAGTAGATATTGATCTGAAATGTGGAATAAATTTCACCTTTGGAGTTGTATCCTATGGCTTTCTAAAAGCCTTTCTTTTAAGTGACTGGTTGTACATTTGCAGGGGAAGAAGGTCAGATGAAAAGATAGTTTTGTGGCTACAAGTCATCTCCCTTGGATCAGACTACTGGGGAGAGCCACATTGTGCCATCATAAAAACGCTGAGAGAGCTGTTGGCAACAGGCAGAATTTAGCTCTCAGTGATGGCCCTGCTGCTCTAGCGTTGACTTTGTCTCAGGTGATCCATAGTTTTGTAAAGCCGATATAATTCCTTACTCCTGGAATGCTGTTTGGCTTTCACTCAGTGTTGTTTTTTTTGGCCTTGGATACCTTTGAGAATCTAATGAAAGTCACGGGCCTTCCCCAGGGAGTTACAGACTCCATGCAACGCATCAGTGATCAGTGGCCTTTATCTATCACCGGGAGCAGCAAGCACGTACAAAAGGTACCACTCTCGGCTCCTAAAAGCAGGATCTGAGGGCTGCCCGGAGAACGTCCTCCATAGCTGACTGGTAGAGCAGTTAACATATAGAAATGTAAATGTGCCTTACTGTTTACTGCTTTGTTTCATAGTCTGACTACTAAACTTTCAGTTACATATGGAGCCATTCAACCCTTTCTCTAGCATATTTCTTTTTTTTGTTTTTTTAAGAGAGATGGGGCTTCACCGTGTTAGCCAGGATGGTCTCTATCTGACCTCGTGATCCACCTGCCTCTGCCTCCCAAAGTGCTGGGATTACAGGTGTGAGCTACTGCGCCTGGCTTCTCTAGCATATTTCTATACCTAGTGCCATATCAATTATCATATTAATATCAATTTTTTTTTTTTTCTTGAGATGGAGTCTTCCTTTGTTGCTCAAGCTGGAGTATAGTGGTGGAGTCATACCGCACTGCAGCCTTGAACTCCTGGACTCAAGCGATCCTCTGGTCTCAGCCTCCCGAGTAGCTGGGACTAAAGGTGCATGCCACTGTGCTCAGCACAATACCAAGTCTTAAAATTTGATGAAAAGGCCAGGCATGGTGGCTCATGCTTGTAATTCCACGCTTTGGGAGGCCAAGGCGGGTGGATCACGAGTTCATGAGTTCGAGATGAGCCTGGCCAACACAATGAAACCCTGTCTCTACTAAAAATAAAAAATTAGCTGAGCGTGGTGGCACACGCCTGTAATCCCAGCTGCTCAAGAGGCTGAGGCAGGAGAATCGCTTTAACCCGGGAGGCGGAGGTTGCAGTGAGCTGAGATCGTGCTACTGCATTCCAGCCTGGGTGACAGAGCTAGACTCCATCTCAAAAAAATATTTGATGAAAGGCAGCACTTTTGGAGTTTCTGCTACACCCACCCTGCCCTCCAGATGACTGTTGCTGATGTCCTAGCTGTCCAGTGACCCAGACTTAGACTATCCTGGAATAAACTTAAACATGTGGTTGTGAGTGGAAGCCCAGTACTCTGGTGTACCATGTGGGTAACATAGACTCTAGGGAATTTTGACATCAGATATTATTTCACCATCTCAATGCTATAGTGAGTATTGCTAGAAACATAAAACCCATGTTATGACTCCTTTAATTGTAATAAAAAAGAAACCAGTTGGTAATTTATAACTCATTTTCCCTAGAGTGCCTTTTCTAGTGGTAGTCAGGTAACAATCCTGTCATAGGTTTCATTAAGAGGCAAAACTCTTTCTGGATATCCTATCGACTTAAGAAATGGAGGGGAAATGTATTTGTTTTAAGTGTTTAGTAGAATCATTGACCATTCTTGTTGGTTGATATTTGGAGGCTGTGTCTACTCCCTGATCCCTGGAACCTGTGAATATGTTACTTTAGTTGGCAAAAGGGACTTTGCAGATGGGATCAATGTGACACACTTTGAAATGGAGGAGATTATCGCAGATTATTCATGTGAGCCCCATGTAATCACAAGTTCTTAAAGATGGAGAGCCTTTCCTGACATGGTCGGAGAGAAGAGGTGACATCAGAAGAGTCAGGAGATGTAGTGTTGCTGGCTTTGAAGAGGAGGAAGGAGGCCATGAGTCAATGGTGGTAGCTCTAAAAGAAAAGCAAGAAAGAGGCTTCTCTCCTAGAGTCTTCAGGGAGGATTGCAGCCCTGCTGACCCCTTGATCTTAGCCCAGTGAGACCCATTTCAGACCTCTGACTTCAGAACTGTGCGATAACAAATTTGTGATTGATTGATTGATTGACTGATTGATTTTTGAGACAAGGTCTTGCTCTGTTGCCCAGGCCGGAGTGCAGTGGTGCAGTCATAATTCACTACACCCTCTAATTCCTGGGCTTAAGCAAGCCTCTTGCCTCAGCCTCCTGAGTATCTGGGACTACAGGCATGCCTCACCATGCCTGGCCAATTCTTTTTTTCTTTTTTTTTGACATGGAGCTTCGCTCTGTTGCCCAGGCTGAAGTGCAGTAACGCAATCTTGGCTCACTGCAATCTCTGCTTCCTGAGTTCATTTGATTTGATTCTCCTGACTCAGCCTCCCAAGAAACTGGGGTTACAGGCGTATGCTATCACCACACCTGACTGATTTTTGTATTTTTTAGTAGAGTCGGGATTTCACCATGTTGGCCAGGCTAGTCTCGATCCCCTGGCCTCAAGTGGTCCTCCCAACATGGCCCCATGATATACTGAGATTACAAGTGTAAGCCGGTGCACCTAGCTTAAATATATGTTGTCTTAAATTACTGTTTGTGGTCAATGGTTATAGCAACAACTAGTAAGAGGCTCAATCGTCAAGATGAATGAGAGATGTACAACAGGAAATCACATAGTTTGACCCTGGAAATAATTGTCTTCTCTTTTAGGTCGTGGTTGAGCTGGGGAAGTTTGAAAGGAAGGGGTTTCAAAGTTCCGATTTGCAAGATGGACATACAAAAATGGAAGAAGCACCTACGCATCTTAATGCGTTTCTTAAGAAAGAAGCATTAACCTTCAACAGGAAAAGAAAATGGGAACTGGACAGCTACCCCATTATGCTCTGGTGGTCCCCGCTGACGGGGGAGACCGGGAGGTTAGGCCACTGTGGAGCAGACGCATGTTTCTTCACCATCAACCGGACCTACCTGCATCATCACATGACAAAAGCATTGCTCTTCTATGGTAAGCGGGGCTTTCGCCTTTCTCCCTTTGTTTGCTCCCTTTGTTCCCTTACTCCAAAGCTGAGTTACAGCTTACCACTGAAAAGTGATGGTGGAGCTCCCCTTGAAAACACGTTGACACCCCTGATTTCCTTTTCATTTGCTCTGTGGCATGCCAGAGCGTTTAGCAGATACAATAAAGAAACAAGCCTGGCTGGGCGTGGTGGCTTCTGAATTCTCTAACACATTTCTGAAGGGTTGGGTAAGAGAGTATGATCCTCAAGTTGTCATTTGAGATGAAGCAAAGTTAAATGTTGAGATTAATATCTCAAGTTTTAACAGAAGCTTCTAGAAAGATTTCAGTTATAGACACAAAAAATATAGATAATAAAAGGGGTATTTATGTACCTATCACCTAGCTTAAGATATAAAATATTACATGTATAATTGAAAATCTGTATGAGCCCCTCTCTGACCTATCCCATTTCCCTCCCTGATACTCTGGAGGGAATCATGATATGTGTGTATGTGTGACAATATAAGTATTTTATTTAGATATATAGGAGTTATATATACATGTGTGTTAAAATTTTTTTAAATGTTTAAAAGTTTTAAAAAAGTTTTTTAGGGCCGGGTGCGGTGGCTCAAGACTGTAATCCTAGCACTTTGGGAGGCCGAGGCGGGTGGATCACAAGGTCAAGAGATCGAGACCATCCTGGTCAACATGGTGAAACCCCATCTCTACTAAAAATACAAAAAATTAGCTGGGCATGGTGGCGCGTGCCTGTAATCCCAGCTACTCAGAAGGCTGAGGCAGGAGAATTGCCTGAACCCAGGAGGCGGAGGTTGCGGTGAGCCGAGTTCGCGCCATTGCACTCCAGCCTGGGTAACAAGAGCGCAACTCCATCCCAAAAAAAAAAAAAAAAAGTTTTTTAAATGTTTAAGTGTTTTAAATGTTGACTGTGGTATAACCACTTTAGATATTGGTTTGGCAAGGTCTAGTAAATGTGAATTCATACTTAATAATTCTACTACTAGGTTTATAAGCACATGAAATCTCACATATATACATGGATTGTTCATTATGAAATTTTTCTCCATAAGTAAGGCTTTTAAAGTAAACTAAATGTCCAATAACAGAAAAATGATTAAATGAAGTGTAATACATAAATTCAATGGAATATTATGCAATGATGAAAATGAACTGGAGTTAGGAGCATGTAACTGATAAATCTCAAAACTAAGTTACAGATAGAAAGTTACATATAACACTACTCTACATCATTTATATTGTTAGAAATCTGTAGTAGAAATTTAAGAACATGTGATGCTATTCCAGGGAAAACAACCAGTTGTACACATATATACATATGTAAACACATGGATACACATACACACACATAGATACACATATATACATGCATATATACACACATATATAGTGATAGGTTTGGCTGTGTCCCCACCCAAAATCTCATCTTGAATTGTAATCCCCATAATCTCCACATGTCAAGGGCGGGACTAGGTGGAGGTAATTGGATCATGGGCAGTTCCCCATGCTGTTCTCATGAAGTGAGTGAGTCTCATGAGATCTGGCATTTCCCCTGCTGGCACTCACTCCATCCTGCTGCCTGTTTCTCCTTTGTCTTCTGCCATGATTGTAAGTTTCCTGAGGCCTCCCCAGCAATGCAGAACTCCGAATCAATTAAACCTCTTTCCTTTATAAATTACCCAGTCTCAGGTATTTCTTCATAGCAGTGTGAGAATGGACTAATGCAGTATACACATATATATGTTCATACCCACATATATACACATATACACACATGTAGACACATACACATGTATACACATATGCATTTATGCATGTGTGTACTATGTATGTAGGTACATAAATATACACACATCTGCATGCATACATATATGCACACACGCACGCACATATATGTATGCATGTTTACACACACACATGTATATACATACATACACACTGTAATTTATATATACATATACAAGTCGAACATCATAAATCTGAAAATTTGAAATCCGAAATGCCCCCAAATCCAAAACTTTGAGCACCAACATGATGCGCAAAGGAAGTGCTTATTGGAATATTTTGGATTTCAGAATTTCATATTTGGGATGCTCAATGGTATAATGCAGGTATTCCAAAATTTAAAAAAATAAAAAATCTGAAACACTCCTGGTCTCAAGCATTTCTGCTAAGGGATTCTCAGTCTGCATATATGTACCTATATGTATACACACACACTAGACACACACACACACACATCTTTTGTGTGCAGTGTACTTTTTTGCTCCTCCCTTCCTTCTCTGGAAGAAGATAGAATCTTCTCTTTTTCACCAGTTTGGAAATTTAGCAATAACTGCTTTGGTGTGGGTCTGTATCCTTTCACTGAAGTGGGAACATAAATGTCTGGTTACCAGGAAGCCTACAAAACAGTTTTTAATAACTTGGTGACTTTTCCGGGACTCACAGGTCTACAGAGTCATGCACTTAATTTTGTCAGTACGCTTAAGAGTTGTTCTTTTTCTGTCTGGGTTGGACTTATCTCGAACCAAATTCCAAGGAGACTAGCGTGTCAACCAGAATGCTTCTGGTTTGACCTTCCATATTTCAGATGGAAATATGGAAGGCCAAATTTCTTACTGTCCATTGCCTAAAACGATCAGTGACTCTCTTGGAGAACTGAATATACGCTGTTTATTACCTTGGCATTCACGGCTCTGTGTAATCTGACTCCAACTTACCTTCCAAGCTTAACCCCTCTGATTCTATCAAGTAAACCTTATGTTCAAAACTGAAACTGGAATAGTCCTGATTTTAGGCATAAGCCACCAATATTTCTCACTTAGCATCATTGTTCGTTCAGTTCTGTCTCCTAGGTTGTCCTTTTCGTATTTGTCGTGTCAGAATAATCTACTGAATACCTTCCATTTCTTTGGCAATATGGATGAATAATATAGTTTCTGATGTCTAAGATTATTATCTTGAGAAAAAGATATGACCCAACTGTAACGCAGGGGCAGATGCTATGTACACCACAAGAGAAGTCGGCAAGTCTTTGTGGGATTTCAAAGACAGGAGAGAGCGCCTACTATTGGAGGGATCAAGAAATGATTCATAGGCCAGGCGTGGTGGCCCATACCTGTAATCCCAGCACTTTGGAAGGTTGAGGTGGACAGATCACCTGAGGTCAGGAGTTCAAGACCAGCCTGACCAACATGGTGAAACCCTGTCTCTACTAAAAGTACAAAAATTAGCTAGGCGTGGTGGTGGGTGCCTGTAATCCCAGCTACTTGGGAGGCTGAGGCAGGAGAATCACTTGAACCCGGGAGGCAGAGGTTATAGTGAGCCGAGATTATGCCACTGCGCTCTAGCCTGGGTGACAGAGTAAGACCCTGTCTCAAAAAAGAAAAAAAACAAGAAAGGCTTCATAAAAAATTATGAGTAATATCTGAGGTACAGTAAGCAGAGTGGTTGGCTATAGCATAGTTGTGGGTACAGGAAAGATAAAGATTGAAAGATAAATATTGGGACCAGAGCTTGGAGAATCTTTAATGTTGGCTTAAGATTTTTCCATCACATTATGGGATGGTGTTAAGGAGTCACTGGAGTTAAAACAACCTTTTAAAAGTCAACTCAGGCCGGGTGCAGTGGCTCACACCTCCAATCCCAGCAGTTTGGGAGGCAGAGGCGGGCAGATCACTTGAAGTCAGGAGCTCAAGACCCGCCCGGCCAACATGGTGAAACCTCATCTCCACTAAAAATACAAAAAATTAGCCAGGTGTGGTGGTAGTAGTATGTGCCTGTAATCCCAGCTACTTGGGAGGCTGAGGCAAAAGAATCGCCTAAACCTGGGAGGAGAAAGTTGCAGTGAGCTGAGATCGTGTCACTGCACTCTAGCCTGGGTGACATAGCGAGACTCTGTCTCAAAACAAAAACAAAAACAAAACAAAACAAAAAAAAAACAAGTCAACTCACAGCCACCTACAAACCATTCCTGACTCCTGTCCATTAGATGAAGCCCCTTTTCTCTAAATGCCCACAGGGCATTTTATGTCTCCTTTATGTCATTTTACTGAGTGTCTACTATATATCAGGCACATTGCCAATCATGTATACAGGTAGCTATGGCGTTTTCTTCCCTGGTGGAGTGTAGAGGTCATGATAGAGCAACGTCAGTTCATCTTTGTTCCTCTTCCCACCCACTGTATATAGCACACTGCTTTGTACATGGTAGGTGCTCAGGAAATATTCATGGAGACCTAGAGAATTTTTTTTTTTTAGATGGAGTCTTGCTCTGTCGCCAGGCTGGAGTGCAGTGATGCGATCTCGACTCACTGCAACCTCTGCTTCCCAGGTTGAAGTGATTCTCCTGCCTCAGCCTCCTGAGTAGCGGGGACTATAGGTGTGCGCCACCACGCCCAGCTGATTTTTGTATTTTGAGTAGAGACGGGGTTTCACCATGTTGACCAGGATGATCTTGATCTTGACCTTGTGATCTGCCCGCCTTAGCCTTCCAAAGTGCTGGGATTACAGGTGTAAGCCACCATGCCCTGCTGAGACTTCGAGTCTTTGTGAATAGAGAGACTTATTCTAAACTCAAGAGTCTACCCTCTTTTTTGTCGAGCTGAGAGACTGAGGCTCTGGAGACTTAGGGATGTGCCAGGATTGCAGTGGTTGGTACCACTGCAGTACGCCAGTGGAGAACCAAGGTGCACTGACTCCTGACTGTGTGCTCCTTCACCTAGACCATATTTGTTGTTTGATTGTTTGTTTTGGAGACAGGGTTCCACTCTGTCGCCCAGGCTGGAGTGCAGTGGCACGATCATAGCTCACTCCAGCCTCCAACTCCTGGCTCAAGTGTTGGCTTACGACTTTCCATCACGTCAGCCAGGCGTGGTGGCTCATGTCTATAATCCCAGCACTTTGGGAGGCCAAGGCAGGCAGATCATGAGGTCAGGAGTTCAAGACCAGCCTGACTAACATGGTGAAAC